TTGCTTTCTCTATTAACATCACATTCCTAAAATTAAATCACTCAAGGTTAGTGAAATTACCCAGGACTCATAAATTCTCATATCTAAATAATTCTTTTTTCTTTAAACAATTTCATTTGGTGAGAATCTTGGCATTCAATTTTTGCTGCTTCAAAAGTTGGCATCTTCCTCTGAATGAAAATACTTTCCATAAATCCTTTATCTCCATATTATATATATATATATATATATTATGTACAAACTTCATAAATGAATAAAATATTTGCTTAAAAAGTCCTCCAAATGAAATAACTCTTTTAACTCTACTAATGTTGGATGAGAAATCAATATTTACTGTTGGAGGAAAAAATTCTTGCCTTACTAAGATGAACTTGAATTTTGACTAAATTTGGTATAAGAAGGTTGTCAGATGATTTGACATCAGTGATTTTTACTTATACGTGACAAATCTATTTTACTACTGTTAAACTGTGGGCTAGAAAGTCTTAAATAACTGCCTAAGGCAATGCAATGAGCTAATGTTTGACCTGGGATTGTTACTCGGGTTTGGTAATTCTCAACACCACCTAAATATTCTGTCTTAACCTTCTGATGGCTTCAAGACACTTTAAACCATCCATGGTCTGAGTCCTAGTTCTAATTATATAATACCTAACTATCACACACAGCACCATGCTTAAAAAGAAATAAATCGAGTGGAAAGCATGTTTATGGAGAAAAGCAGGGTAGACTACCCCCAAAAAATATATTCATGGATTATTTGATAAAGTCAGGCCAGAAGAGCAAAGGATGGTAAAAATAAACGTCATGCTCTAAAACTGAATTTTGCAGATACTTTTCAGCATGATTTTTCTATGTTTCACTTTTCACCGTCAGCTGTGAGCTGTTTCCAAGTGTGAAATCGCCTAACAGAGGAAGCAAAGCTGTCATTTGACATCTGGGAGCGTGGAGATTGGGCTGCAGTGAAAAGCACTTTGGACTTCTTCAATTTACACACATATTCACCTATAAATTCTTGAATCTGAAAAGTATTCAATGAGAAATATCAATGTAAATTTACAGCATTTAAAATTAAAGGCTCCTAATGGGGTGGAAAATAAAAGTGAAGGGCATGCTGACAGGATATCACATCAACATGTTTAAGACTGGAATGGGAAACTTAAATGGCTATGTTAGCATAATAACTAATGTATAAATAATCTTACTCACTTGAGTTAGACTGCATATTAAACTTTCAAATAGTCTTTTGTATCTTATACAGTTAATAGTATAAGTTCTATTTTCCAGCTGCTTATTTATGATGAGAGTCAAAACTGTTAAGAAAAAATACTGGTAGGAAAAGAAAAAAATTACACTCTTGACATCTTATTTTTCATTTATACTTAAAATGCTATAACAAAAATTTATTCTACATTATCAAGTGATAAAACATATAAAATTCTTTGTCTAAAACTGTATGTTTTATGTACAAATAGAAGTAAAAACAGAGTAACTAAAAGGAAGTCCTTTGGAGAAGAATAACCAGTCTACCCCCATTTTTGTTCTATAATCTCTCTCAGTGAAAAGCAGAACCTATCTAAAAATCTCCTCATAAGGTATCTTTATGGAAACTTGACAGTGTTRTATTTATATTGTCATGCCAAACAATCTATTCCTACTTTGTGGACCATTTCTTTTGCTTTTTTCTTTCTGAACTCCATTCTGTGTGTCTATGGTATAAAAAGAGCCCATTTACCTTGAATAATGTTTATTTAAAATAAAACCTTGCTAGAGAATCACCCTGGATAATCTAAGGATACAAAGTGAACCTAAAAGGAATGGTTTCTACTTTGAAAACAGGGCTGGGTTTGATCAGTGCATTCGTATTCTCAAGACCCTCGTGATGGGTCTGCAGCTGCAGCCATTTATGTGCTGGCTTTTTCACAGATGTAGACAAGAGAAAGAGCCATGGTTTTTGTCTTTTTGTTGCTGGATTTGTTTTCTTTAATATTAAAAAAAAGGCAACTTAAAAAAAGTTCTTAGGTTGTAGAGACATATGAATATTGAACTTCCTTGGAAGTATGCATTGTTGAAATGACTAGGACTTTTAAAAATCTAAGATCATAAAGTTGGCAGAAACTATTCTTAAATAACAGAAGGTGATCATTTGCATTTCAAAATTTATCTATCTTGCCTTCCCCTCAATTAGACCAAAACATGTTGATTCACAGGTTTCTGTGTGTGTTTTTTTCTGTTTTAAACTTATTTATAGAGCAGAATAATGGCCCCCCTGCTAGTTTGGCATTTGCTCAAGTTTCTGTCCATGTAAATCGAATCTGTTACTGGAAATTTTTCTCAAAATATAGAAGCACATCATCCACAAGATAAAAAAGACACACTGCTGATATTATAAAGTACAGGGCAGGTGGGTGATGTTTTTAGGACAAAAATATGATAAGGATTTCCAGGGGGGAAGAATGGTAAGGGCCCCATGCTGTTCAAACAAAGGTGAATCGTCCTCATCAGAATCTTGTGACAACTTCACTTTCAAACCAAACATGAGTGCTTAGCAGGCTTTAGAGTTACTTGCATAAAAACACCAAGGTTCGAGCTGGGGTAGGGAAAAGGGATTTGGGAGGGAACCATTTCAACCCTGGTGTTTGTAAGGGTAGATCAAAAAGTCTAACAACTACTGATTAGTGAGTTTTAAACACTAATGCACTAACATACTATCATTGTTTCCACCACCCTTTGAGAACAAGGAGGAATAACTATTTGTAGTTTTTATTAGTAGCTCTGCTATTCAGTTTCAAGAAAAACAGTAATTTATAAATTTTTGCTTCAATTCCCCCAGTATTGTAAGCAAACGGTTAGTAACGTGTAGACTTAACTGAGTTCTTTAACTAAGTTTGAGATCTTCTAAATTAGAACATTAACATGACCTTTCTATTAAGACTATGACTGGTTTTGTTTCACCTTACTGCTTAGGTTAATAGGCCCAAGTACTGGAGAAACTTTCCATACTATTCATGCACACAGTAATACTAGAACACTGCTAACACAACTAACAAAGCTTGAAGGCAAATCCCTTTATGTAAATAATTACAACAAAGCCTCTTTTTATACTAAAGGTTTGTTGTTGTTGTTGTTGTTTTTCCCCAAATGCTAGTGAAGGACAACCTGAAAAAGGACAGCGAAGGGAAAAAAGAAAAAAAAAAAAATCCATTAATGGTACACTGCCACCTGCTGATGAACTATGAGAATGGTGATTTCTGAAAAAAGGCTTAAAAATTAGAATTCAGAAACTAATCTGTATTAAACAGAACACAAAATTGAAAGTATGTATCTGTTGATGAACGTATTATGGTTTTGTCCCACATATATTAATGCTCTCAGGATCCCAAGAAGTTATGGACATTAAAAAAACAGACTGTGCTTGAGACTAAAGAAAAATAATTTGCTTGAATGCTAAAATACCACCTTACTGATAAGGAAATAAGGAGCCAGATATAAATATTATAAGTATTAACAAATATACTTATGTACACTGAAACCTAACATGTAATTTCTTATCAAATTAGAAAGTTGGGTGGTGTCTATAAAACTAACAATCAAGACAAACAACTGGTTTTTTGTCCTATTTTGTATTTTATCTAAATACAAGATCTCACTGAATTGCTTAGCACCTCACTTTTGCTGAGGCTGGTTTTGAACTTGAAATCCTAGGATCTCAGTCTTCCAAGACCTGTGCCACCCCACCCAACCAGACAGGTAATTGTAATGAATCGATTTCTCTATGAAATTTTTGTTATTCCTTTTACTATATCACACCAATATGTTTTCAAAAATCAGAATCATGTCATCTATTTGAGGGACAAAAATTATAGTTTTGTTCTATTATCTAGGAAAAAATAAAATCAGTCCTAATTTGGAAAAGAATGTGACAGTATTAGTTCCCAATAGTTATTTAAGGAAAGTTTAAGCATATTTTCCTTATAGAATGAAAAACTTTGCTCTTCCTCTTCACTGTAATTCTTAACAATGAAGGTTGTAACTAAAAAATAGTAAATCTCTTTCAATTCAAATTATAATGATTTCCTGTGCAGCAGAGTTAAACAAGATAAGCATCAATACACTGGTAGGCTAGTAAGCACTAAATACTGTAATGACCAACAATCAAATAGATGATGTCAGCATAATCAGTTGAAACTCCTTTGGAAGTAGATGGAGGCTTCTTGGGGGCATCGGAGGTTGGGGGGTAGGGGCACCAGGAGTGAAGAAACTGTAGTCATCCAAAGATAGTAAGTGCTAGGCAAAGCAAACAAACTCTGCATTCAAATATAGCCCCATCCGCAATGATGAGAGAGGAAAAAGTAACTCAAACGTAATTCATATGCTTAACTTACCTAAAATTATCAATCAAGGACTTCAAACCCACAGAAATAAATCTCTTATTTTTAAAAATAAAGACAATACAATAAGGGCAGGAGAAACCTGTTGTGTCAATGTTTGGCTAAATGGGCTATTTTAAAAGAAGAACATGCTTCTTAAATTTTGTTAAATATAGAAAGAATCTTAAAACTGCATTCTAAAATGCCAGGTCTACTCATCACTGAAATCACAATGCATTTTTTTAATCTTTATCTATTTATAGCCTTAGGAATTTGATCCTTTAGTCAGCTACCTCTAACATCTTAATAAAAATCATCCATGTAAAGAGGGTCAAGATATCTAAAGTTAAGTCACTAGTTAAGTCATTTTAAGGAATTTATTTCAAGTTCTAAGGGATGCATAACCACTTTTTACAAGAAACACACACACACACACACACACACACACACACACATAAAACATACACCTATATACGATGGTTTTATTCCCCAAATTTTCCTTTTTAGAGGGTTAAAGAGATAACCAACCAATATGTATGTGAACTGCTAGTGAAAAATAGAACTTTTATAAAGAAAGGAGAGCTGCCGGACCACTTTTTCAAGTGAGACATTTTAGGAGATGGTTCTAACCTGGGGCACAGTACATTCTCTCTATGGCATCGCTGTCACAGGAATCTTCAACCTCACTCCACCTGCTAAAATACGTTAGCTGAATGTGTCCTAAAAACAAAACGACAGGAGAAATCAAAACATTTTTCTCTTCCATTTTCTGCAGAAGTGAACTGTAATTACTCCTTTTGTAGCTAAAAACAGTATCATTAAGAATAATGGCATCATTAAGTACTAGAAGCTATTACTGGGGGTGAATTTGCTGCACTGATAATGAAGCTCTAGACAGGAAATGAAGATACTAATTACAAGATAAAACGCCTACTCAGTTAATTGGAAGCAACAGCGAATAAAAAGAAATGCATTTGCAAAAGTTCCTGACCTCTATCATTCAATAAGATGTTGTTTGGGTTCAAATCGCGGCACACAATTCCCTCTCTATGTAAAGCATCAAGGGCTACCACCATTTCAGCTGCCCATCTTTGAATGCAGCCCTCTGGGATGTAAAACCTGGAGTTTAGTGCTAATTTTTTATCAAGGTCCTCAAAAATCTGATGGATTTCCTTCTCTCCTTCTAGTGCTAACATACTTTCTCCCTTCCTCTCAGAGTCTCTCTGGAATAAACAAGTAGATTCCTCTTTAGCCAAATCATCAGCTTGATCTGTAAACAGCAATACTTCCTCTGTTTTTAAAGTGTCTGTGTTTGCATTATATTCATTAGCACCTGAGAGGGGATTAGAGATATAGAATAAGCTTTCTTCTGTGGTGTTTGCAGTTACTGCCAACTCCGCCACTCGAAGTCCTTGCAACTCAGCATCTGAGCTGGGTAACAAAGGCAGGTCCCCTGAACTACTATGATCAACAGCTGCTACAAATAACACCCCAAGATCCTCCTGCGCATAGTGTGTCTCAGTTATACTACAGGGCTTGGGCCTAGAGTGATCACTCAGTTCCTCTGTGCCTTTTTCTTCAGGGGYCTGGCACTGTTCAGTACTAAGCCTGAGGCACAACACATCTGGGGCTTCCAACAGTTTGCTTTCTACCATGCCCACATTAGTCTGAGTAAACTTAGTAGGTCCCGTTCCAGCAGCTTCTTTTGTTGGCTCCGGTTCACCAGGGAGATTTACAAGAAGATCGGGTCTTCCTTCATCAGTACCACTGACATCATCAAAAGCAGCATCCTTAAAGGAAATAACTGGGACTGAGTCATCTGAGCCCCTGCTAATGGTGTCCTGAGCTTTGAACTCTACCTTGTTCTCAATGGAATTAAAACTCTTAGAAGTGCTGTCCCCATCTGGAAGAGTAAAGAATGGTTTCAAAGGTTCTGATTTTAGACTACACAGTTTTTCTCCAAAATCAAGTCCCAGGAGTTCACTTGTGCTATCCTTACTGTCTATCCTAAAGAACTCCATGGGGCTATTTTTTGATCTACTGAGGGAATCAGAGGTTCTTGGAGAACAAACTGCTTCTGGGTCCTCATCTCCAGGGAAGAACTTCAGGTCGTGGGCTCTCAGCTGAGTGCTAGGGCTGTCACTGTCAGCAGCAAGATGTGCTGGAAAGCTCCTACTGGCTTTGGTATCAATGTCATTCCCTTCAGTCTTCATGAGAGGCTCCTCGTTCAAAGACCCTGGTTCAATCTTTTCCTGCCCATATTCATTGCATAATGTTAAATAACTAGTAGTGCATTCTTCTTCTGAACTCGAACCGGAATCTGGCCATTTTGGAGAGCTGTCTTGGCCTTCATCTTCCTGGTTGCTATCATCTTGAGAACTTGGAGTAAGACTAGTCTTCAGAGGCAGAACTTTAAGTGTGCTTCCCCCATCACTTCCTCTGGATTCAAAGCTGCCACTGTCCTGAGAACTACAAGTTGGCTGCTGCCGGTGAACTTCAGTAAGTGTGGACTTTTTCACTTCCTTAATGTCAAAGCTTTCTTCAGGACTTCTGTTTAGAAATTTACTAATATATGACCAGAGTTTGCCACCTGTGAACAAGTACAAGCAAAAAAAACAATAAGATCCTTAAACAGATATTTAAGCAACTAGAAAAAAAAAAGTATTCTAATAATCATCAAAACCAAGTCAACAATACTCAATTAATGTCAAATGTGCTATAAAACAGGCATATTTAATAAAATTTGAAGCTACATTTCAATTTTATTATTGCTAACTGATAAGTATGGTTTCAAGTATTTTTCCCAATATCAATTACTTTAAAAAAATGACAACCTAKTTCTTTCTTTTGAAGGGAAATTAGTTATAGCAAACACTAATATGAAATCTCACAGCTAAAATCTTGCTTTAAGTTAACTCTTATTTAGTCTTAGAAACATCTGATTATGTCCTGGTCTGATTATGTAATAATTGGTCAAGCAGAAATACATAAATACCATTTGAACTTGTATACTACAATGAAGGAAAAAAATCAACAATATTGAATTGTTCCATTTTGAAAATGCCCAATCCAAGTCAGGCACAGTGGCGCACACTAGTAATCCCAGCAGCTTGGGAGACTGAAGCAGGAAGATTGTGGGTTAAAAGCCAGCCTCAGCAACTTAATGAGACCTAAGCAACTTAGAGAGACTGTCTCTAAATAAAATATTTTTTAAAAGCCTGGGGATGTGGCTCAGTGGTTAAGCACTCCTAGGTTAAAACCCTTGTACCAAAAAAAAAAAAAAAAAAAAGCCAAAAATTGAAGGAGAAATTTGGCATCTGGTAATATAATTTGTCTTTAAATGACATTATTTTTCCATCTTATGCTCCCTGATACATGTTCATATGTTATGTAAGCTCAACTAAAGCCATTGAGAAAGATTAATTGAGTAGCAATTAATGAGGTAAGTTATTATAATTCTGATTCTGTATTCTGATTTTTATCTATAAAACTAAACTAAAATCACTTAAAACACTTTTGCAGAAATCAAATAAACATAAAATAATTCAGCTTTTTACCAATAATATTTGTTATGTAGTTACTTTACTATTTGTTATGTAGTTACTTTACCATTTTTTTTTGTTTTATTTTAACCATTAAAAATTCAAAATTAGAGGTTTTCTGCTAATTAGAATCTTTATATAAAAACTAGAGTATCAAAACCCCACAAATGCACTGATTAAAAATAATAGTAAAAGAAAGATAATTAATTAAATTTGATCCAGAAATCTTAAAAGCAGTATATAGGGAGGCATACTTTATAAAGATAGATATAACTGGCTCAGAACATTTTTAATGTCACTATTAAGCAACATATATCAAATGTAGCTAAATCTTAAAGAAAAGTAACCATTGACAATGAATGGCATGAATAAATCAGCAGTTGCATCCAAGAATTTTGCATTTTACATTTCATTTCTAGAAATTCCATAAATACCCAAAGCACTGTGCCTACCACMGAATAAATGATCAGTAAAGGGTAAGTGTCATAATTATCAATCCTAGGATCATCATGCATCTCTTTCTACCAATGATCCAGTTAAGAGACTTCCCCATTTTGATAACAGTGATGTAACTTTTMTGTCTCATTTTTTCTTACCGGAAGCTTTCTGTCCTCTTTGGAGTATACTCAAATGTTTCCATATGGTTTTCAAATTCACACTCACAAAGGAGCTATGCATCAATTCCAGTCTAAAGTCTTCTGACAACAATAACCACATTCTTCTGAGCACACTTACCTAAACTTGGCACCCAAACAATAATGCCTAACCCTGAAGCTGAGATCCTTATGCAATCCAAATAAAATGACACTGTGGTTTTTGATTCTCCAGGATGATGACTCCTTTGAGGGAAGGATCAAGTCTTTTTCACCTTTCTATGCCTACTGTCTACATAGTACGCAKGACATGGAAGGCACTAAGCCAATGTTCAGTCAGTCGATAACACATCATGAGATGTGCCATCACCACATACAAGTTTCAGTATCAGCAAGAAACACGACCTGATAAAATTCTAGGAAGTTTCCTTCACTCTTAGGCCAATGARTCTAAAATTCAATGTACTTAAATTCTTTATTTTTGTCCTCCAAATCACATCTTTCTGTCTTCCAAATCACTCTAGCATAAAAGTTTCAGACCAACCTTGAATTTTTTTTTTCTTTTCTTTGCTCCTCCTACATTTGACAAGTCTCCAAGTCCTATGAGTTCTAACTACAGTGTTTCTCCCAGGCATCTCCTTCTTTTCATTCCTTTAGTTATTCTGTGCTTCTGGGTATAATGCTATAGCCACAACTAGACTATAAAGTCCCTACTATGTCACTCTATCATACTAATTGTTGTCCAGTTAAACTTCCATTTTAGCCCAGATCTTATCATGCCATTTCTCCATTTAAGAACTCAAATCCCTCTACATATTGAACCATCTAMCAACTCCCCATAGGCATTTGAACCCCTGGGTAATACAGTACCAATTCATAATTGGGTCCTCTTCCCCTACTCATTACAGAATTCACTTGAATTAGACATACCCACATAAACCCAGGCTGGGCTTTTTCTCATTCTACACCTACCACTTAAAATTTTTTCCTATTAGTTTCCTTGAATATCTGCTTGTCAAAATCCTACCCATTCTTGAAAGTGTTTCAGAATCTGTTCTTTTTACCAATTTCTTTGTATCCCTTTACAGGATATATAATTCATATATTTTACGAATCCTCTACATTATTTGGTCCCTCATATGACATTTACAACATTCTACTTCATATTAATGTTACTTTTATGCTTTTATTATTTCCTTTACCAGATTGCAAGATCTTAATAACTGCAGAGGATTCTACCTAGCACTAGTGAGTTAATAAATATTTATTAAACTGAGTAATAACAAGTGGTATCTTCACAATTTTTTAAAATCCTTTCAAAGAAAAAGGTGTACAAGTACTAATAATGTCATTTTAGAAGAGGTCACATTTTCTTCCTAGTTTAAAACTAATATAGAGCTTTACTGTAAAACTTTTCAAAAAATACAGAAAAGAACAGGAAAATAGAAAAGACAAAAATTTAAATTATCTGTAATCCCACCACCTAATGATAAACACTATTAAGTCATTACTATACTTTCACATTTTTTAGTCACAAATAACATCATAAACATTTCCTAATTTTTATGAGAAAATGAGCTTGAATGGATATATAGCATATCCATGCAACAGATGTTGTGATACAGTTAAATGTTCTTCTGTTGTACATTTAAGTTGTTTTCAGTTTTTTTACTATAAGAATTACAATAATAAATATTATTACATACAAATATTTGCATTCTTTGATTATTTCATCAGGACAGAATCCCAAAATTGAAAATACTGAATCAAGAAGCATGTTAATGTTTTTGGTACGTGTTGCCAAATCACTCTACCTTCTGGTAAGTAATGTGCACAGCGCCATCCTGATGGCCAAACTTGCCCATTTCAGATAGTAGCAAGTTTGGGTTGAGAATTTGGCTCACTAGTAGAGCACCTGCCTGGTATGTATGAGGCTGTAGGTTTGATCCACAGACTTAAAGAAAAAAAATTAGAAAGTTTATCCATTTGATAAATCAAGTATGGTATTCTATTTAATTTCCATTGTTCTCATTATTAGATAAATTTTTAAATATGATTGTCAGTGTTTTATTTATGGAATCTGTTTCCAGACTAAACAAGCACTTTAACATCAACTACAAAAACTGTTATTTTTAAAGGGACAAAACTCTTTTAGTTCTTTCCCATTCTCTGATGGGTGCTCACTTAAATTTATTGTTCCTAATGCTCAATACTGAACTACAAAAACAATATTTTGATCAAATCACATCCTTTTTTCAATTATAAAAATATAAAATCACATCACCTACAAGAGCACATGATTCTAACTAAAGTCTCTCACCCACAAAATCTGCTTGGGTTTTCACTTTCTGCAGAGTTGAGATCAGGCCCAACATAAAAACTTATACAAATATCACTATTATTATTATTATTATTATTATTATTATTATAACATTAAACAACTTTTAAAAACTCTGTTATTGCTAAATCATAAAATATAAATAGAAAACACCTAAAATATTAATAATTTTAACACTTTAAGAATATGTAAATGATATTTTTCTTTTTATTTCTTTTTTTTTGTTGTTGTTGTTTAACAAGAGCACAAATTCATCTTATTTATTTTCCATTAGTTTAAATCCTTGAGGGGTACAGCATCACACGGATTCTGTGTCCAGTGACCTTAGCAGGAAGGTTGCTTCAGAATGTGGCCTGAACCATGCCACTGTTTCCATGGCACAAGTTACCTTTCCCCATATTACTCTGGTTTTGTTTGGCTTGCCACCAGGAGTCACTATGTTGTTTTTTGCTTTGTACACATAAGCACATCTTTTGCCCAAGTAGAACTTGGTTTCATTTCTGGCATAAACACCTTCAATTTTTAGAAGAGCTATGTGCTATGTGCTCCCTTTGGTTCCAAAGACCCTGCTTATAGCCAGCAAAAATGGCTTTGCACCATAGCCTTCCAGACATATATGGCTTTTAGAAATCCTGTTGGCCAGCAGGCCTCCACAGGCATTTTTCTAGGCCCTTTTGAAACAAAGTTGCAATTACTGAAGCATCTTAAGCTATAAAGATAATAATTCATAAGGGTTAAATAAAATTATCTCCTTGCCTCTCATCACATTTTAATTTACTGTCTTTCTACAAGATTGCACAATAATGTATTAATCTGCTTGACCAGAATTAGGACTTAAAGTTAATATGGATGATCAAATATTGTTATAGCAATGATAAAAATCATCTTTTGACTCAGAAATTCCATTTCAGAACATCGTCCTACAAATAATTTTTAAGAACAAGACAAAATAAGAATGCACAAGGATATACATGTACAAGTACTGGGAACAGTTTTTAAAAAATAATTAGTAAGGGAATAGATAAATTATGGTAAATCTGCACAATCATTTTATATCTACTCAAAAATATCACAGCAATATTTGCAAATACAAGATGTTTACCAAGTACCAAGTACAAGTCTACGTATTTTGCATTTATCAACCATTTAATTTTCACATCAACCCTATAAAATGGTAGCTAACTATTATTATTCCTGTTTTGCAGATGAAGAAATTGAGACACAGAAAGGTTAGGACCCAAGGTTGCACAACTAGTAATAACAAATCAACATTTCTGCTCATATAGCCTGGCAATGAAATCCTTTTTAAACACTACACAACACTGGCTTTCTTAATATAAATCTACTTGAACTCACAGGGAAAGGGTCCAAGGTACATTGCAAAGATGGGGTGGGGAAAAGCAAGATAAAGACACAAAATAATCATCTGTATTTTTAAAAATCAAATAAGTGAGGAGTGTATGTTTATACATAGAAAATTTTTTGGAAGATGCATAATAAACTGTCAATAGTGTCTATTTCTGGGGAAAAGGTAATTTTTACTTTTATATGCTTCTTTATAGTTYTAATTTATTTGCTTATAGATTAGTTTTATACATTTTTTTTTTAAAAAACCTAGCTAAAAAGGGAGAATCATCTTACTACTTTGGTCCCTTGGGGAGAAATTCTTTCCCACTACTATTTAGTATGTCAACAATCCAGGACTTTTACAATCTTTGTTTTTCAGCCTGGCCTTTTTTCCAACAGGCTCAGTACTCTATGATTACACAGAGCATTGACTACACACCAAGCATTCTGCTATAAGGATATGTGAGGAATATTATATAATCCTGATTTTAGGAACTTACACACCTTTCTTCTTCAAATAGAGTTAAGAGGTTAATTTAAAAGAATAAACATTTTAAACCTCTCCCCAAAAATCTTGTCTGTTATATCCCACTTCCTTCTCAACACCACCTGAATAATAAGTACCTACAGAACTGAATCCTGCATTTTTTCCTTCTAAATCTATTCCTTCCACAGCTTAGTAAATGGAAAGTCCATTCTTTCAATTATTTAAGCAAAAAACCTTAAGAGTTATGTAAGGCAGAATCATGCCAGTTCTACCTTCAAATATAGTCAGACTCCAGTAACAATCCCACCACCACCACTACTAACTATGAATATGGTTATAAGTATGCCTCCCAAAGATTAAGGTGTTGGAAGTGTGGTCCCCAGGGTGGCAATGTTAACAAGTGGTAAGACCTTGAAGAGTAGAACCTAGTGGGAGGTCCTGAAGTCACTAAGACCAAAGTCCCCCACTGGATTCCTGTCTCACCACATTATCTCTTGTTTGCATACACACTCCTACTACTGTAATACCATGCACCATGAGGACCTTACCAGAACCAAACAGATTTTCGCACCATGGCCTTGAACCTCCAGAACTACAAGATAAATAAACCTCGCTTATTTATATAATACTCAGCCCAGGATATTTTGTTATAATAACAGAAAATGAACTAATACAAAAACCTGTCCAATCTGCCATGATTTTCATTTGAATTGCTGTAACAACCTCCAAGTTGTTCTCCCTGATTTTGCCTTTGCCCTCCTATGTTCTGTTTTCCACAAAACAGTGAGAATGATTTCTACATTGTCACTCCTTTGCTCAGTATCCCCCAATGACTTCCTATCTCATTTAGAGTAAGTCAAGTTCTTAAAGTTGCCTATGAGACCATACGGAATCTGCCTGTCCTCCTACTCACTCCTCTAAACTCAGCCCCATCTCTTCCCATTCTCTCTAGCCACACTCGTCCTGCTACTTCTTACACACCAAGCACTCTTCTGAGCTTATGCACTCTTTTCTCTCTTGCCAAGACATTTTCCCTCACATATTCCCTCACATTGCTCCTCCTAATTTCCTTCAGGTCTCAGGTCAAATGTGCCTTTCTCAATCAAGTGACCTCCCTATATAAAACAGCACCGCTCTGACAAGTCCCTTCCCTCCTTTTCTTGATTTTCTCCTTAGTATTTATCTCCAGCTGACACACATTCATTTATATACTTGTTGTCTGTTCCACCTCTACACAATGGAAGCTCCACACAGGCAGAGTCTTTGTTTTAGTCATTGTTGCACTAGAACTTCACCTGGGCTCCAGTAAGCACTCAATACATTTCCAACTGAATGAATTAAAAACAGAAAAGAAAATGAATCCAAGAGACTCAAATAAATTACAGACAGTTCTGTAAGTAGTAGGAGGTTAAAGCTACAAATCATAAATATTCAAGCATTGGTAACATGGAGAAAACTGTTCAAGATTAACTTTTTCAGTAATAACTATTTATACATATGAGAGTGACTTTTTTTTATCATCTTCACACAAAATACCTCAGAAAATAACCACTGAGACATCATCCAGTTCACTCCCTTGCTCGAACCAAATCTGAGAAATTACTACAGACTCTTCTCTCCCTACTCCCAAATCCATAACAGCTCCCTCTGACACTACCCTTAGGACATCACCACTGGCACGCCAGCAGGCCATGCCCTCAGCCTCTTTCACCCAGACTCCTACATTAACCTTTCACATCTCAATTCTTGGCTTTCTAAGACTCATTTCCCAAACAACAACCAGAGTGGCCTTTTTAAAATGCAGACCAGATCCTATCACTGCTCAACATGTCTAGTGATTCCCAATGCACTTGAAGAAAAAACGAAGTCCTTACCCTCTGCACAAGCTCCTGCCACCTTCTCCAGTGTCCTCCTGTACCAGTGCTGTGTTCACCTACTGATTCAAACCAGATGGCCTCCTTTTTTGGTTATCAAACATCCTGAGTTTGTTTTTATACTGGTCCCTGTACCAGGACCTAATGTTCAAAGGATGGTTTCTCTTGCCATTCAGAATTCCTCTTAAATGTCACCTTCTTAGAGAATTTCCTTGATTTCTTAATAGAAAGAAACCTCAGTTGTTCTCAGTTAGATCTCCCTGTGTTAAAGATCAGGGTCATGCCATTAATCTACTGCTTTTTGTTTTTCTGCTTGTCCTCCACAATGAGAATTTAAGTTTCACAAGGGCAGGTTCTTTTTCTATCTTTTTCACCTAAAATGAGCCAACTACATAGTACATGCTCAGTGAATTGGTTGAGTAGCAAATGAATTGAGAATTCCTAGTAGCACCACAATTTACTATTTTTTGTATTCTAAACCCTTCTTAAAATTAAACAATAGATATCTAAAAGAAACAATCAAAAGATATGCTGCTTCCAAGTTTAAATAATTCAGGCCAAATTATATAGTTATATGTCCATCCAAAGTCAGGTATGGTCAACAGTAAGGAGAAAGAGACTTAGTAAAGATTATTTATAACAGCAGAAAACTTGAAGGTCCTATGTCTATGACTTTAAGACATTATAAAATTATAAAGTAAAATCAGTTTTAGCTCCAAGCGGTATAAGGGAAGGTAGAAGATGACAGAAAAACTAACATATGATTTGGAGAAGGAAGAAGAAGAAGAAGAGGAGGAAGATACAGCTACAAATAACAGAGGTAAGCTAGGATTGAAAATGTACCACAGATAATCTCCAACATGAATAATCCACACTGGGTAATAGAATATTGACTATAATTACATTCATCCTACTGACCTTGTTCTAAATTATTATGGATTATTACTACGCAAGTTATTTTGTTCCACACCAGAGGTGGCTGTATTTCGCTATCAGATGACATGACCTCTAATTCAATAATGTCTGTAATGCACTGGTATCCTCAGATAAAAGCTGTCTATAATGTCTGAACAAAGGTGAATTAGTTATCCAATTCACACACGCAATTAACTCTCTTAATACCTGTGAGACCATGGAGCCCCTTCTGAATTTCCTATTAAATACTGCATATGGAGGTCTTCCCTCCATCTGTAGTTATCTTGTGCTGTACTTCATAATAAACAATATTAATAGTTTATTGCCCCCATCAAAAATCTTGCATTAGTTATCATAAGAGACCTCATTCCAGAAGCAATGACTCCTTTTCCTCAGAAAATTATTAAATTTGGATGTTATGCCAATTAGTAAAGCACAATAGTTCTTTACTCTCAGTAATATAAAAATAATAATGTCTCTATGAAATATAAAAAATAATTAATTTTTTATTGTTTTTAAAAATATCTCTTAAAAACACCAAAAGATCATTTATATGAAAGGCATTTATATTTATATGCTGTATTAAGTCATTCTTAGTAAAAGACTATTTAAATTCAGGTGTTCACAGGCAAAACCAAATCAAAACATAATATTTTTTGCCACCTGTTCCCTCCACTAATAGCTAAAATTTCATAAACAGTTTGAAGGCAGAGCCCCATGCTTCTGCTTTGTACACATATGTGATGCCAATGGCTGTATTCATAAAAACTCAGATCAGAATAACAAGGTAATGTCAAATGTTAAGCAAATACCCTGGCCTTCTATAAAAAGGAGGTAATTAATTAATTCTTCAGGGGATGCTTTTCATTTTCGTCGTCTAACATAAATGTATCTTTTTAGCAGAGAAAAGAGAACCAAATAAAATCCCTAAAATAATGTCTAGCTCTCTTAACGTGCATTCACATTAAAGTTCTAATTATATTAGATAAATTCTATGAGAAACTAGGAAAGAAAGTATGCCTAAGAATGAATGGTACTGTATATAGTTCAAAAGAAATCTGCTGTGCACCCAAGTTTTCGTTTTCCTTCCCATCTCTAAGTGGGAAGGCAGAGCAGAGGAATGAGCAAACAGCTTCTTGTATGTGTTTCACATAAGAAAGATGTTATGGAAACTAGAAAGCTAAACAGGTGACGTTCTTCACTACATAAACAATCTAACTGCAAACCAACCTTCTGCATGCTGCAGCACAAGAAATACGGACTCCTCAGAGATGATGTACTTGTGCAGACACACCATGTTGGGCACACAGCGGGGGATGATGGTCTTTCTGTTCCTGCTGTATTCACTGCTTTTCCTTAGACCCTGACAGAGAACAAAAAGGTCAGTTGTACCCTCAGTTGCCTTTGGAGCCTGCTGTGCTCTGTGTTTATCAACCAAACTAATCTATCCGAGTTACTCTGGGCTTCAGAGAAACCACTCATCTGCTGCTCTATGCCCCTCAGTCCCTGGAGGCTGTGCTGATGGCATCTGGCGTGAATCCAGAGAACAGAAGATGCCACAAAGCTGCCATTAAAATCAATTACGTGGGTCAGTGTTTTTATTAGAGATGCTCTCAAACTAAGTCATCAGGATGACACACAGTTATTTCTCTATGACCTTTTAAGTTTGATTTTACTTATGTACATCTTTAAAACAGGAGACGTTGTGAGATCAATTCAAATTCCTGGGACACAAAAGATATTCCTACTAGATTAAACCAACAACTTGAAAATTCTATTCCAAAATAGTACAAAGATTATTATAATACCTCCAAGAGAACAAGTGTGTGTGTGAGTGTGTGAGWGTGTGTGTGTGTGTGTGTGTGTGTGTGTGTGTGTGTGTTCTAGTATCAGACTCTGGTTTCAAAGACTGAGGAAATGTCAATGATAAAGTATATTCATAAAAAGCAATGTGTTTCAGTATGTGTCAATGTGACCTACTGCCATGCCTTATCAGCAAAAAAGAAGTATCAGAAAAGGAAATATAAAACTAATCAAAGCATCTTCTGGATGCTATGGAAGTGCTTAAATTAAAATAGTTTCAATATATACCATCACAATTAATTCCAAAAACAATTATGAAATTGAGGAATTTTATCATCTTATTCGTTTMGTTATAAATTGAGTTAGATCAAAATGAGAGCCAGGGATGTAGATAACACTTTCCCAAATACCTGGAACAAAATTTCAGTTCTGAAGAAGTCTTAATAAAAAATGAGACTGTGTATGATATTCACAAATTACACAAAATTTATTAGAGATGTATTTAAACTACACACTACACATTTAAACAACACAAAGATTATTCTTCAATTGATCTAATTTATTTCCTCCCTATTTCAGAACATAAAACTTTTTTTTAAATCTATGCTGCAGGACATTTATCAACTTGATGAAAGGAAAGGAAAATAAATACAGATCACTACAAACACAAAAACATTAAGACATCCATACACACAAAAATTAAATCTTGTCTTTCAAAAGCACAATGTGAAAGTAAATTTGAAAATTCAAATTCTACTTACTTTTAAAATGAATGTCTGTTCTGTCCTTGTGTCCATTACAAGTAAAACCTATATAAAAATATGAGTAATAATTTAATCATAACACCATAAAACATTAACTCTACTTCTGGAAACTAAGAATTTATTAATTTCAGAATAGCTTGCTTTTAAATCCCCAAATCACAGGATATAAATAGTCTTATCCAAAATAGATGCTATTATGATTTCCTTTCCAAAAATACCATATTTTAGAAACATCTCTATGTGTCCTAAATGTATTTTTTAATGAATTTCTTAAAAGTAAAGGAAATATTTTAGACAAAGAGTTTTTCCTCATGGAACACAAATGGTGAGAAAGAAATATTTTTAAAAAACTTAAATTAAAAAGAAAGAAATTGTTCAAATCTCAGCTTTCTTCCCCAAACTTCTCATGCAGCAACTTGGTATAATTTGATCTTGATAACCCGGGCCTGGCTACCACCTCAGGTATCTGTTTGGTACTGCTTCTCTACTCTGGACCCATCCTCAAATCATTTTTACCATCAGCAAATTCTGKCAGCTCTATCCTTAAAATAAATCCAGAATTCAAACTCCCCTCACTACGTCTAGCTTTACCTGATACAAGCAAAGATCAACTCCTTTCTCACTAGTAACACTGGCCTCCTGCTTCTATCTTTGCTGCCCTGTGATCTATTCTCCAAATGGCAGCAAAGGTTTCCTGTTTAAGACAACTTAGATCATGTCGCTCCTCTCGTCTTACTGAGAGAAAAAGTCTAACTCCATAAAATGATGTCAAGATCCTTCATGATCTCACACAGTGCCACCTTGAACTGTCACCCACTTCCATCTTGATGACTAGAGGAATGAACAAAGAAATTATCCCGCCATGTTAATTTTTATTATTATTATTTCTACATACTATGGCAATGGTTGGCAAACTTTTTCTGCAAAGAGCCAGGTATTTTAGGCTTTACAGGCACATGTGGTCTCTGTTGCTGCTTTCCCAATCCGCCACTGTGGCACAAAACAGCCCAATCCTGGAAATGGCCAAGGGAGGGAGGAATATTTACACCACCAAAATCAGCAAATGCTGCAAATGGGGTCTTTTTTCCYTTTCAAAAGAGCTGGCTGTCAAACATTTACTAATCCCAACTGAAAGAGGAGGGAGAGAAATCAATGATGAAAGAAAAAGTTAAGCAGGGGAAAATAAAAGAATGGTGAGAAAAAACAGGCAAGTTAAGACAGGAAACCAGTTTGAAAAGATGGAAAATCCCATTTCAGACGTGATGAACTTGAAGAAAGTGACAACTTCATCTTTGACCTCTCTTATGAGTATCTGACCTATACCATTTCAATATCCATTTAGTTGCAATAGAAAATTAACACAAGTACCTGATGACTATATCCCTTCCTTTTCCCCAAACCCTGCCCTCACCAAAAATAAAACAAAGTTACTGTTCTTCCCCCATAACAGCACCCTCCATGAAAACTCCCAAATCCAAGACTTCCCTAAGTCACTGTGAATTCCCATGTCTCCTACCTTCAGAACCAGTGACCAATTCTACTTCGCAAGTACTACTCATAACTAGCCTCTGTCTCTTTACCTACGATATTTTAATTATTTACTATGTTCTATGTTAATCCTTTCAACAACCCAATGAGATAATTTTACATTCCCATTCTACATACTAAAGACATTATAGCTTCACAGGTAGAGCCTGTGATGGTAGCTAACAATAGTATTTACCATCTGTGAAGATTTCAGGGAGACAGTCTTACAAAAGTACAGCCAGTGGTTAATATTGCTATCACTATTATTGCTATTTCTCTGGGAAATGTTCCCACAGCCACTTATCAAACAAGTACTCATCTTTCCATATTCAGCTCAAATATCACACTCTCTCTCTCTCTCTCAATAACACTGATGACTTTCTTCCTTTGTTCTCCCATTTTATACAGTACTGACTTCTACTACAGCATCCCTAACCCTTCAATTTGGTTTTATTTGTTCACCTGTTTTTCTCCCAACCCAACTTCAAGCTCTTTATGGGATTGTCATAGGCCGAATAATGACCTCAAAGATGTTCATGCCCTAAACTCCAAAATCTGTGAATAGGTTATGTTATGGCAAAAACAATTTTCAAGATGTAATGAAGAGGCAGGCCTTAAAATACAGAGATTGCCCTGGATTATATCTTAGTGGATTTCATCAAATCACTCGAACTTTTAAAAACAGAGAACTGTCTCCTGCCAAAAGAAATGGAAAGCACAGAAGTGATGTGGCAGAAGAAACAGAGATCAGAGACTAAGAGGGAAGTATGGTTGCTGGCTTTGGAGACCACAGGTCATAACCAAAGGGAGGAAGCAAGGAGCTTGCAGAGAGCCTGAGAAGGAATCCACAGGCAACTTCTAGGAGCAAAGAGTAGCTATCAGCTGCCAGCCACCAAGGAAACAGAGTTCAATCCTACAACTGTGAAGAGCAGAATTCAACTACCTTAAATGAGCTTGGAAGCAGATTCTTCTCCAGAGAGTCCAGTAAGAAATACAACACTGTTGGCACCTGTGTCGCATCACTGATCTACAGAACCCTGAGATAATAAATTGCATGGCTTTAGGCTGCCAAATTTGTGCTAATAGCAGTAGAGAAGAAACTATTTCTTCTATTACAGAACATACTGTAAATGTTCAATAAACTTATAATTAGTGAATTCTGGTCTAAAAGTCTGGAAAATACAAGACAAAATCGGAGTGGGGGGGCTGGGGATGTGGCTCAAGCGGTAGCGCACTCGCCTGGCATGCGTGCGTCAGCACCACATACAAACAAAGATGTTGTGTCCGCCGAAAACTAAAAAAAAATTTTAAAAATTTAAAAAAATGGGAGTGGGGTTTAGAAAATAAGTCAGGACTTATTTTCTATTATTAATAAGGACTATACATTTATATTTAAGCACTCTCCATAAAGATAAAAGCTAAACACATGAGAATGGACCCTACTAGACTAATGCCTCCCTTATACTACCAAAGTTCTGGGTTTTAAGAAATTTAATTGTATAAACCAAACAGGTTTTTTTTTTTTTTTTAATTTGTTGGGGGTGGTGGTGGTACCAAGGATTGAACTCAGGGGCACTCAACCCCTGAGCCACATCCCCACCTGTATTTTATATTTTATTTAGAGACAGGGTCTCACTGAGTTGCTTAATATCTCGCTGTTGTTGAGGCTGGCTTTGAACTTGTGATTCTCCTGCCTCAGCCTCCAAAGCTGCTGGGATTACAGGCATGGGCCACCATGCCCAACTCCAAACAGGTTTTTATTAATCAATTTTGTGGATGAGGAAACAATGACAAAACTGTTAATCTACCTTGTGCACAAAGATAAGAAGTCGTAGAGGCAAAATTTAAATCTAGGCAGCTGACTCCAGAGTTCTTCCTCTTTAACTAGTAAGTTATAACATATGTAAACAATATATTGTCGTATTTATGTCTGAATTTTGAAAGTTATACACAGTTGGAATATTGTGGGTAGATAACACAACAACCAAAAGTTTAGTGAGAAAAGTACAAAGAAAACTAGGAAAAGAGAGTGGTTCAGATGCCATAGAAAGAGAACACTTAACGTGAGAGTAATTATCCCAGCAACTGAGAGACAACTTGAAGAACAAGGACTGAAAAATAACCATGGTCCAAGGCAGTGAGAAATGGAGTAAACTGCGAAAGACAGAGGCCACACTGCCCTGATGAAAAKAAAATGGGGTTGACACATGTAAATCTTTCAGTAGAAGTAAGTCAGAAGAAGGAAAAACACTAAAATAAAAGTGTTGGTGGGGACATCAGTTCAAACAAAGGTTTAGACTTTGATTGTTTTCAGATAGAACAGACCTATTCTGTCCTCAATTGCCCTTTGAGCTATATTCACCAAAAATCTGAACCACCAAGGCATAGAAATGCTTCCATAAAACCTGAACATTAAAAGAACATACCATGAGTGCAAATGGAGGCACTGTGAACCTCTCTACAACAGAAGGCTCAATAAACAGCTATGTCTATGAAGACATTTAGTGTTCCTTTTTACATCAAGTTGTGGCCCTTTCAAGTCACTCGCAGGAAAGCCAGTCAAGTTTGAATAAGGCACATCTACATGAATAGAAAACGTCTTACTAGGTAAAAGGTATGGAAGCCACACAATCAAATAAAAGAGCTTCTTTTTCCTACCATACGCCTCATGGAGTAAACAGAATATACCTGCATAAATCAGGAGTGATATTCCTTTGCTGGTCTCACTTAGCCATGAAGCATGAAGCGCATCAGATAAAAAGGCCAAATTAAGATGGATAAGCATGGCTGGGAAGTGCTATGTTGTTTACATTTACTTTCTTTTCCTACCAAGTTTGTTTGCAACTAGACAAYGTTCACATTGAGGCAATAAACACAAGAACATATGTGATTTTTTTAAAATGTGCCCTTTGACTGTCAATTTCTCCCAAACAGGTGTTGGCTAAATGATTATAAATTGGCCTCTGGATACACCTCTTCAACTGAGCCGTACAGGGCTGGTGATAATATAATTAGACCTAAAAACATCAGGCTAGTGAATGCTTTCCATCTGTTTGGCAATAATGTTTAGTTAACAATAGTCTTTAAAAGAAGCACCTTCAGCTTCAGTTCTTAAAGTTATTTATAGAGCCATTCTTAACACACCAGCACTCTTGCTAACAAGAGCTTTAGCCACTTAGAAATTATTAGCCATACAGCTGTACACAAAGAGAAACGGCTGTATACAGAGAGAAACGACTGCATTTAACATCTGTATCTTTCCAAATTTACACGCTTCAACCTCATTTAGAGCCATTTCTTAATGAACAGAGCTATGGCGCTGCATTAATATTATAGTTGCATGCACAAAGATCATAAGGAGCCAAACATTTTTTTTAATGCCAACAGTAGGCCAATCTGTAATGAAGCTGTCAGCATAAAGGACAAAATAATAGCTTCTTTAACCCTCAAACAGAATTTGTTCATTTGTGGACTAGAACACATCAATTTAAAAACTGCTCATGGGTTTGTTCACCTTT